TGTGAAAATTTTACAAGAGACAGAATATACAAGAGCCCTGATACAAATGAAGCAAAATCATGTCTGTCTACCTGGTTGATTACATTGACAATAGACAGCAAAATGACTCCATTTATAGCTCTCCTCATTCTACTTGAAATTTAGTCCTAATGGTCTATGCTTTTTGGAGCAGCTCTTCAAAGCAGAAAGAACAGGAAATAATCTACTGAGCATACTTCCTTTTTATTTTTTTTCCTGCTTTATGCCCTTTGGTAGCTATGCTTACTTTTGTTTTCCAATAGTGATAACCTTGAAAAAGATAAAAAATGACTTCTCAGACTGAAGCCAAGCCAAAGATAAACTGAGGCCACAGACTGCATGATTCATCACTCTAATTGCCAGACTCCTAGAAAATGATATTGTGGGTAAGTTTTGAGGAAGTGGCCAGTGATGGAAATCACAAAGCTTTCACGGCATGTAACAGAGACTTGATCTAGAGCAGAGCTCCTTAAACTTTGTTGTGCAAAAGACTCACCTGGAGTTTTGTGAAAGTACAGGCTCTGATTCAGCAGCTCCGGGCCCAAGAGTCTGCATTTCTAACTTGCTCCCAGGTGATGCTGATGTTGCCGGTTCCCAGACATCCTTTAGTTAGCAAGAGTCTAAAGTAGCAATTTTCAACCGGTGTGCCACGAGAGTTTTTAAAACATGCAATACCTGATTATTTAGTGAGGGACATTGACCTCTTTCCCTTAGATTGTCAAATTAAAAAAAAAAAAAAAAATGACAACAGCCAACACAACAATAGCCATCCAGTGTGAATGAATCAACATTATACCTATTTTTGTCATCAGTTCATTAAAAAATATATTTTTGGTGTGTTGCAGAATTTTAGTAATTAGTTTATGTGTGCCATGAGATGATAAAAGCTGAAAATCGCTGGTTTAGAGACATACCTCTAGGATTTACTAATCTGTGTTCAAAGCAAGCACTTAAACTCTGGGAAAATCAAGTTTATTTATTTCTAAATTAGGGTTAATAATATCAATAAACTGAATGCCTATCTCATAAGGATGTTGTAAAAAAATCAAGAACTACATGAGTTTACATGTGTATGTACATGTATATAGCATATATTATAATGCTTTATATAAATACTAGAGGCCCAGTGCACAAAATTCGTGCACGGGGGCGGGGGGGGCGGTGTCCTCAGCCCAGCCTGCACCCTCTCCAATCTGGGATCCCTCTCGCAATCTGGAACCACTGGCTCGTAACCGCTCACCTGCCTGCCTGCCTGATGCCCCTAACTGCTCCCCTGCCAGCCTGATCTAACTGCTCTCCCCTCCTTGCCTGATCCCCCTAACTGCCTAACTGCTCTCACCTCCTGGCCTGATCCCCCTAAGTGCCTATCTGTTCTCCCTTCCTCTCTGCGCCCTTCGGATCCCTGGCACAGGCATGCTGAGAGCGCTCTCTCCACTGCCCCTGTCCTGATAGGTAATTATGTGACAGCATCCCGGACTATTTGCATATTCCTCTATTATGACTAGAGGCCTGCTGCACAACATTTGTGCACTCATGGGGGGGAGTCCCTCAACTTGGCCTGTGACCTTTCACAGTCCAGGAGCCCTCAGGGGATGTCCAACTGATGGCTTAGGCCCGCTCACTGTGGGGAACGGGCCTAAGCCATCAGTTGGATATCCTTAGCATTGCTGCCGAGGTGGGAGAGGCTCCTGCCACCGCCGCTGAACTCGCCAGCCGTGAGTATGGCTTTTGGCTGAGTGGCGCTCCCCCTGTGGGAGCACAATGATCACCAGGGGGCACCTCCTGCATCGAGTGTCTGCCCCCTAGTGGTGAGTGTGCATCATAGCGACCAGTTGTTCTGCTGTTTGGTTGATGTGCATATTACCCTTTTATTATATAAGAAGATTACGGATTAATCCCTACTCCATATCTATTCTTTATCACTATCATAATTATGAAAAGGGTAATTGGAATCCCTTTCCACACTTAACCTTTTGTGATTTCTCTTTCTCTCTAAAACAGCCTCTACTGTTCCCATTAACAGGATTTTTATCTGACAAAAACCCAGGAGGAAAGTGATTGGCAGATGAGGGGCAGTGGACACAAGCAGACTTTCCCTGACCACAAAGACCATCACACTTCACATGGGAAATTTCAAGATACAAAGCTCTTGGGAAATCTTAACTTTAGTGACATTGGAATTGCCATATGATTGTTGTTGCAAAAGAATGACTAGATAAGACTGGAGATTTTAAAAACAGCTGAGAAGCAAATGAAAGTAAAACAAAATAGCACTCCCTTGGTATTAAGATGTTATAAACTGAACAAGCACCGCTGTTGTGTTCAGCTGAGCTTTGTGCTTCTATCTATTTCTCTAACTTCCATGAGCAGAATCGGGTTCTGAAATCATGGTCATCTGTCCAAGTTTCTGATTTGTTTTCTCCTTGAAACTGAGCATCTAGTGTGTGGGTTATGTTGACAAAGATCACTCCTTCTCTCCCTCTCATCCAATGTGGTTAGCTCCTAACTGAAAATCTTTCCTGTAAGAAACCAGAATGCATAGTTGAAAGAAATCCTGAATCTTTATTTTTCAATTGCAAAGAGATTAAATATTTTTCCTTCAATTATCAATTCAGTTTTTAATTTAAATTCTTTATTGTTTAACGTATTACGTAAGTTTCCTTTTTCCCCCATTGACTTCTCCCCAGCTGCCTCCACCCCCCAGCACATATCCTCACCTCCCCACCCTCAAGTCTGTGTCCACTGGTTATTCTCATATGGATGCATGCAAGTTCTTTGGTCAATCTCTTACCCATCCCACCCCCAACCTTCCCTCATGGGTTGGACAGACTATTCGGTGCTTCTATGACTCTGGTTCTATTTTTGTTCATCAGCTTATGTTGTTCATTATATCCCACAAATGAGTGAGATCATGTGATATCTTTCTCTGACTGACTTATTTCGCTTAGCATAATGCTCTCCAGTTCCATCCATGCTGTTGCAAATGGTAAGAATTCCCTCTTTTTTACAGCAATGCAGTATTCCATTGTGTAGATGTGCCACAGTTTTCTAATCCACTCATCTGCTGATGGGCACTTAGACTGTTTCCAATCTTAGTTATTGTAAATTGTGCTGCTATGAACATAGGGGTGCATATACCCTTTCTGATTAGTGTTTGTTTTCTTGGGATATATTCCTAGAAGTGTGGTTACTGGGTCAAATGGAAGTTCCATTTTTAATTTTTTGAGGAAACACCATACTGTTTTCTTTCCACAGTGGCTGCACCAGTCTGCATTCCCACCAGCAGTGCAAGAGGGTTCCTTTTTCTCCACATTCTCACTAGTACTTGTCGTTTGTTGATGATAGCCATTTGAGATGATACCTCATTGTTGTTTTGATTTGCATCTCTTGGATGATTAGTGACTTCGAAGAATTATCAATTCTTTAAGAGAACTGCAATACTATTGAAGGCTGGGCAAGTTCAGACAGTAAAAGGAACTTAGTCATTGACTTGAATGTGACCAGACAAGAACAGATGTTAACAAAGCTCTGAAAATAATGATAAGCTTTAGATACTTTGATTCAAAAGAGTATGTTTGGAGATATAATGAACAAGTTTGAATTATCAATAGGGTTAAAACAGGAATGACCTTCTGTGTCATGTTTCAGGGCAAAATCTTTATGAATAGAGAATCTCCTGAATCCATATAACTATAGAACTATTAGCGGTGAAAAGGTACCAGAAGGTTACCAGCAATTGGACCTCGGTTCAGCAACCTTGGTACTTGAATTCTGGTTAAGAAATAATTCAGAGGCAAGACTCAAATACAAGAAAAAGTTTATTTAGAAAGCCACGAGGTAGAAGAAGTGAGCCAGCTGGGCTGCATGGGCTCAGGAAACAAGTTACAGGGGCAAAAAAGGGCCCTTGGAACTTAGGGGAAAGAAAACAAGGGTCTATGTGCCTGGAGTGAAGGAGGGGGGGGGGGGAGGCCTGGGCATGCTTTAGAGCAGTGGTTCTCAACCTTCCTAATGCCTCGACCCTTTAATACAGTTCCTCATGTTGTGGTGACCCCCAATTTCATTGTTACAAATTGAACATAATGAAAGCATAGTGATTAATCACAAAAACAATATGTAGTTATATATGTGTTTTCCGATGGTCTTAGGCGACCCCTGTGAAATGGTTGTTCGACTCCCAAAGGAGTCTCAGCCCACAGGTTGAGAACTGCTGCTTTAGAGAGAGCACTTGTGCTGGGAAAAGAAGGGGGTGGGGATTTTAGAGGAGGTCCCAGGGGAAGGTCTCAATAGACTATTCATCAGCTTCCAGATTTCAGTGTCATGGTCTGCACTAGGTCAGGGGGAAGAAGAGGGTCCAAACTGCATGACCAACAATATACTAGGGGATGGAAGGTCACCCTGAGGGTGAGGTACCCCTCTACAATTTGTTGGGAGGCACCGGGGCTTTCCTCCTGGTGACCTTCAATACCTGGCCCACAATCCTTGCTCTGCTCATGCCTGTCTAGCTGCCTACTTAGAATTAAACAGAGGCCAACTGTGTCAAACTGACTTAACTCTTGACCAGAAAGGTAAGGCTGTAAAGCAATAAAAGTTCACTATTTGCTTCAGGGAATTTCTGTGAATCAATTTATGGGAACAAATAATTTGCTCATCTGGGTAAATAGCTTTTCTATCAGGATAAATAAATTGTTCCCTTGGGCAAATAGCTCACTTATCCAACAAAGAATTTCCTTATCAAGATTGACTTTAAAACCATCACCTCACAGTGCTCATCAATCTTAAAATATCATGTAAATATACCTTATGCAAATCTATGATTTCTTGCCTTGAAAGATCTTCCTTAACTGACAAAACCCTTCAAATATCTTTCCCTGAACTTTCTCTTCTGAGACACTATTAAGGCTTTTTTAGGGTTGTATCCTCCAGGGCTGAAGCCAGCCAAATAAGCAGGCTTGCTCCATCTGTACATTTTCTGTGTTCTCTAGGGCAGCAGTCACCAACCAGTGGTCCGTGGAGTCTGAAAGGTTGGCAACCGCTGCTCTAAGGGAGTCCAGGCTTGACTCTCTCACTGTTCCTCCAGGTGCTGCTACTGACACCATTGTAAGGTAATTTTTCCACTGCTGAAAATCTCCAAGATAGGCAGGACAGATGAAAGACTAAGCATAATGAATGGGTCAAGTGAGGGGTGGCATGATCCTGTTATCCTTGTCAGATATCCTTCTGAAAAAGTCGGTCTCAAATTAGAGAGTGATAATTCCTCCAACTTATTTTTAAGGCAGCTCAGACAGGTGTTAATGTAAATAATATGTAGGATTTTCTATAAAATAAAAATTTTCATATTTTTACCCTATAATTGACAGAACAAAAACCTCAAAACGTCAGATTCCTAAACATTTAGCCATGCTTACTGTAAATTTACAGAGCCCGAGTGTATGCCTTCTCTTGAGCTAGCATGTCAGTGAATGCTGTCATGGAACCCAGGCCAGAGAGAATTGTGATCTCTGAGCCTGACATGAAGCCTTGAGAACAGGCATTGCTGTCTCTTACACAGAAATGAAAGCCAAGCAGCAATGGAAAAACGACGTCAGCTGATCCTGACACTATTGTTTTTAAGACCAGTGCCTATCATTATTTTTTCCTGGCATTTTAAGACGCTCCACAAATATCGTATAAATACTACCTAATGCAAAGCCTGACCTTCTGCTTAAAATACAACTACTTATGAGATTTATTTTTTCTGCCCCCATTTTCCCTTCTTTTGTGCTGTCCATGTATGGTTATTTATTTAGACCACATCTACTTCCATCAAAATGATTTGAGCCAACTTACAACAGAAGTAAAAATAAAATGAGGCCAAAATGTGCATCCCATTAGGAGTAAAATATGGGCTGCATACACTTCTCATAAAATTTGTGGCGGTATTTACTGCCCCTTATCTCTCCAGTCCAATATGCTTAGCATCTAATTGCAAATCTTTCTTCTTAGAACATTCTGCAGAGTTGAAGGAAATCCTGAGTCCAAACTTTCCAAATCCAAGGAAGCAAAACTTTTCTTCTTCCTTTGTCAATTCTCTGACAGAACTTCAACTCCACTGAAGGTGTCAGACTATTGATAAGGACTTTAATTCAAAAATGCAAAACACACACACAGTCAATCAATTAATCTATGTAATTATTTTTCCCTATTTCCACTTAGAGTAGATCATTTAATTCAAAGTGTGGCAGACTTTTCTGGAAAGGACCAGATAGTAAATATTTTAGGCTTTGCAGACCATATGGTGTGTGCTGCAACTACTCAACTCTGCTGTCATAGCACAAAAACAGCCAGAAAATATGTAAAGAATGGATGTGACAGTGCTCAATTAAAACTTTAGTCACAAAAAGAGGTGGAGAGCTGAATTTGGTTCTTTGACTTCAGGTTGCTGACTCTTTTTTCTGATGTTTTCCATTACTTCAATCTAGGGTCAGAGTAAAAGGGTAAGCTGAAATGAAACAGACAAGAAATATTCAAAGTGGACAAAAATAGTTATTGGCTGTACTCTTTCTTTGCTGTTTGTTGGATAGACTGTGTTTTCATTATTCCTGTAGTAGTAGGCTAAATAGTAGCCCCAAAGAAATGTTCCATTCTAGTCCCTGGAACCTACAAATAATATTTTGTTTGAAAAAAGGGTCTTTGTATTTGTCATTAAGTAAAGGATCTTGAATTGAGGAGATAGTCCTGGATGGTCTCTGTAGACCTTAAATTCCATCACAATTAGCCTTAGAAGCAGAGGGAGATTAGACAGACACACATAGGACAAAGTGATGGAGGCAGAAATTGAAAGAATGTGACTAAACAAGCCAAGGAAGTGCCAACAGTGACCAGAAACCAGAAGCAGCAAAGAACAGACCCTCCTCTGGAACCTCCAGAGGCAGTGTGGCCCTGTGAAACTGATTCAGCCCAGTGAGGCATGTTAAACAACTGACCTTCAGAACTGTGAAAAAATACATTTCCATTGTTTTAAACCATCCAATTTGTGGTATTTATTTTGGCATCCACAGAAAAGTATGTGTATGTGTGTGTGGTGGGGATTAGGGGAAATGTGCACAATGTCCTTTGAGATTTTACAAATAGAGCAGTATGGCATGCACTTCTTCTGGAGGTCTCATGTAATTTGCTGAATTAAATTTATATGTTAACTCATCATGTTGGGATACTTGTAGCATGTATGATATTAAAACTTCACATCTGTCCATGGTGAAATCTTGGGCTCTTGATTTTCACAAAAGATTTTTCTTCCTTCTCAAAGATCCTAGAAAATGATTTTTTTTGTTTTTAAAAAAAATATATATTTTTATTGATTTTTACAGAAGGGAGAGGGGCAGAGAGATAGAAACATTGATGAGAGAGGAAGTCATTGACTGACTACCTCCTGCAAGGCCCCCACTGGAAATTGAGCCCACAACCTGGGCATATGCCCTGACTGGGAATGGAATTGGTGACCTCTTGGTTCCTGGATCGATGCTCAACTGCTGAGCCACACCAGCTGAGTGATGATATGTTGCTGTTCATGACAATGACTAGAGATTTTCTACCTCTTTATCTTGGAGGAAGCAAGTCTTTTAGAAACTTTAGTTGGTACATTGTTCTTAGTTCTAGCATTGTCTCTTATGTAGTCTCTCAGGATACAGCTACTACTCCTGGATGGATGTTAAATAACAACGCCCCCTAAAGTGTTCAGGCCTTTATCTAGGTCTAACACCCCCTTGCACTGCCACTGAGTTAGCTTGTACAATAACCGTTTTGATTATGCATTCTCTGTTATTTCTGAGAAAGTAATTTCACCATTTTTTTTCAAATCTGACTATATGTTTCTGATTTTCTATTTTTTTAAATCCAGGATTACTCTGTGTTAAGAGCTAGAAGGGGGTCTGTGCTACTTTAAATCTTTCATGTTGCTTAAGATATTTCATAGCAAGTCTAAATTCAAACAGCCAAGAGCTAAAGAAGTTCTCTCAGCTAACATTTGAAAATGAGCTGTGACTCACAGGCAGCCTAAGCACTGGATGTCAAGGCAGGATGATGAGTGAGAAACTGGGCAGTGGGAAATAGTGCAGCTGAGAAACATCTGGAGGGAAAGCAGAACCATGATATACACGAGTGGTCTGTGCACAGCACCAGCATTGCCTGGGAGGTGTTACAAATGCAGAACCTGTGGCCCATCTTGGATCCACTGAATCAGAATCTGCATTTAACCACATTCCCAGGTGACTTTTCTAATTCATATTCAGTTTTGAAAAACACTTGTATAGCATCCTGCTTGAAAGTACAGACTTGGGATTAAGAAAACTGAGTGAGAATACTCAATCAATACTTATTAATCATGTAAACTTTAGAGAAGATACTGAAATTCTAAAGCCTTAGTTTCCTCATTTGTTAAATTAGACCAATAATATCTACTTCATGCAATTTTGCAAAGATTAAATGAAATGATATATGTAAAATACTCTAGTACATAATTAGGAAAATGTTACTTTGAAAAGAGAGTTAATCTGTCTGAAATTAAATATACCGGTTCAAAAATAAATAAAGCCTTCTTTAAAAATGGGGGTGATATAAACATTTATTTTATTATTAACAACTATTGTTTTCATGACTCAATAATTTATTATAATTCAACAAACTTGTAGTAATCACCTACAGAATGCCAGATATTATAGTAGACATTAGGGTAGTTAAATATTAATAGAATGTGGTCCTTGCTTTGGGGAGCTTGCTATGTTAGTGGAGAAGACAGTCAATTAGGATTGTGGATGCTTAAATTGAGTCTTAAAGTATTAGTAGGACTTTACTGAGAAGAAAAGGGTAAACCCATCCCAGGAAAAGAGAAACCTATTTTTACTATCAAATTTAGGAAGGGAATGAGAGTCTATGAAGATCCTCAAACAACATAGAACATAGGGATAGCCAATGTATCAAATTTCACTAGTAAGTAAGAGTAAAAATAGAACACATTTATGGAGTAACTACTATTCTGTCCTTTGAAACTCTGATGTGACAGAGCCACTTCTAAATATTACATAGAAATTTACACAGAATTTACATTTCATCCTCCCAGTTACTATATGAAAGTGATACTATTAGGGTTTCTTTTCACAGATGAAGACGCCGACTTAAAAAAAAGGCCAAGTCAGAAGCAGTCAGGCTCCAGGGTCTATTCTAGGAAAACTATGGACACTGCCTTTTTATAGATAATATAGCTTAAAAAAACTTAAACCTTTAACTGATACATGTAGACATTCTTAAGGATTCTTAAACCCTTATTTCTCCTCACTGTCCCCCTTGCTCTCCAGTGAAGCAGAGGGCATTTATCGGCAACAGCACTATGTAAGATTTTACCAACAGTCTTATAGTCACGGGATCGATAGCAATGGGAGTCTCCCAAGAAAACTATTGGGAAACAACATGTAGGCTATCATCTGGAGATTATGTTAAGATGGAAATTTTAAACCATGTCTAATTCCAAAACAAGAAAAAGCTGTGAGTTTAGCCCAGAAATGTGAGGGGATAGTAACAGTTCTTAGAAATCTGTATACTTTTCTACTGAAGAAGTTGATACCTATTTATGACATTCAATAAATTAGATCCAGGAAAACAAGTAGAAATTCTCTCTCTCATTTAATAAAATTTTAATAATCAAAACTATCCAGAAACTAGAGTAATTCCCTAAGGAAGTATTCTTGCCAGCATGTATTGGGTGCCAAATGGACACACACAAAAAAAAATAAAGTCAAATAGGGCATTCAAATACCTCTTACAGAAAATCTTTTAAGATCCATTTATATCGCTTTTTATTATATTGAATTATATACAATTAAAAATTGGCTAAACAGATATAAGTTTGTTTCTGTCATTTAAAAACATCTCAGACAGCCAGCCAGCCTGGAGCATGTATGACAGCTCAGCCAGCAGAACCCCAGACTCCCCTCTAATCTACTATCTTCAAAGTCACCTCCTGTCCAGTATGAAGGCTGGAGCTGCTGCCCTTGCATCCACACAGCAGGAATCAGGAAGGAGAAAAGACAAAGGCAGTGTATCCCTAGCAGAATCAGGTCCCTTAGGGATCCTTCCCGGGAAGACATCCTCAACCTTTCTGCCATTTGTTATAATTTAGTCACATAACCATACCCTAGCTGCGGGAATCTGGGAAACAAACTCATTAATAACCTCAATCAAATCATGATTCTTCCACTGAATAACACAGGCAGACTATATATTGAGCAAGCAACCAGCAGCCTCCACCATGCCCTTCCACCTGAAAATTCTCCCACTCAGCCCTCTCTTTTCTTTCCGCTTTCCTTTTGCTCCATTCACTCAAAAACCATGAAGTTCACTGTGCCAAGCACAGTGCACGGCATTCGTGGAAACGCATACACAGGTAAGTTATAATTCTCAGGGGTGTTTGATTCTGAGGGATTCTTAGTCGCACCACAGAATTCACGAGGGAGAGTACTTCCTCTCCTGGATTTTTTAGTTCTCTAATTTTTTTTAACCGTCCCTACTATATTAAGAGTTTCAAATAAACATCTCAGGCTCCCCTATGTTTTCTCCTTTGAGTTTCAGACTCATAAAACCAACGACTTGCTGGACTTACCAATTTCATCTGAATAGGGCATCTCAACCCCAGCCGGACAAAAAAATTAAGTAAATTCTTCAACTCCGAGCCCGAAGGAGCCCAGGTCGCGTCGGGAGGGTGCACCACGCACCACAGCAGAGAGATTTCAATAGAGTAAGGAACTGGCTAACCTGAGCTGAAAAGGCCAGAGGAGGGCACCGAGGAGACCGAGGAGACACACAGACAGTACCTGCCGGGAGCGGGCCCACCGGGCCGGAAGGCGAAGGCAGGCCGTGGGCCCTCGGAACTTACCAGCTGCGACCAGAACTCCTGCAGCTGGGAGGCCAGGCGTGAAGGGGGGCGCGGGGCCTGTTAGAACCCTCCGGTTGCACAGAAGAGGGGCCCAGCGGGACCCAGGCGTCCGAGGCAGAGCGCTGCCACTGCTGCCTTTCAGGGGGTAGGAGGAGGCTGCTGTTGTGCGGCAGCCCTCCCTCAGCCACAGTCCTGCCCTCCGCGGGTTTAGTGACCCACAGTCCGGAAACACGACATGGAAAAATCCAGAAGGAAGGAATTCATGCGTTTCGAATTGCGCGCCGCGAGGTGTAGCGCGCTCAAATCTCCGAGTCCCGTTCCCTCCCGTGAACGTGACGTGGTGCGACGTGACGTGGCGTGACGTGACGTGACTGGCGCCTGCGTCCAGCATCCTCACGCTCTAGCCACGCCCCCTGCCTCAGTCACCTGCAGCTGTGCTGGCAGCCAATTGACCACTGTGGTCTCGGGGTGCTTCTGTTCGAGTAACTTGTGTTTTACTTAGTCATGCCTCACCTCCCGCAGTCTCATCACGCAGACATCATCTCACGTCATCGCAAGAAGGGTGAGTACAGTTACAATGAAATATTTTGAGAGAGACCACATTCATGTAACTTTTATTACAGTAGAGTGTGGTAAGGATTCTGTTTTATCATTAGTTGTTAATAGCTTACTGTTCCTAATTTATACAAGTATCATAGGTCTGTATTTAAAAGAAAAAAACACACACGTGTATATAGCGTTTGGTACTATCTGAGATTTCAGGCTTCTACTGGGGATTCTTGGAACATATCCTCTTGGGCTACATGCTTCAGAGAAGGAAAAAAAGAGAGTGAAAAAAAGTGTGCAGACAGAAACAGCAAGCGAGTCAGGAAAGGGCAAGGCTCTGATTCCCTTCCCTGCCCTACTTTTATTTTCTTCCGGCCCCTCGTAGAGGGGGCCAGTTGACAACCGAGAACCGTAGGTAGCAGAGTTGCAGCCCAGCTCCATGAACCAGCTCAGAGGATCGAGTTAGAGCTGAGAGACAACAGCTTAAAGTTTTATGCGTTAAACCAATGCAGTCCACTTGTTTGGCTAGTCAGCATGCACACACACTTCTGCACACATTGCACTTACATACATTAGCAATCATACATTTTTGCTTTTGCCTAATTGGATGCACTATTACCTTTTATAAAATGAAGACTTGGAGCTCCAGTGGCGCAATCAGCGCGCGGTACTTATAAAATGAAGACTTGTTTATCCTCTTCCAAAAAATGGAAAACAGAAAACTCTGTCCCAGTACTAGTTAAATCATTTTAATTTCCTCCTAGTATTATACCCCTCAGTTCTGATGCATCCCCAAATCTCTCTTTTCTCTTTTTCCTCCTCTCGGTCTTGACCGCTATTGGCTCTGCTCAGGTGGGAATCAGCTTTGATGTGAGCTGGTTCAATAGTCTTCAAATGCTCCTTCCTAACTCTGTCATTTATTTTATAATATCTCTAAACCATGTGGCAGAATAATCTACAAGCACTGCAAATTAAGCTGTTTTTTTTTTATTCAGACCCCCAACAATGCCTGAAAGGTTAATTTTGGTGGTGCGTGGACAGGCTGAATAGCCATGTCAGATGGTGAATAAAGAAAAATTGAATGTATGTAAGGAAAAGGGGTTGGAGGACGGAGATATCCAAAAGGAAGGGCTCAATAGCACTGAGCCAAAAGGTATTGGGTCCATGAAGGCAGCAAAAATATATTTAGGACAGTGAAACAATGAAGGGCGTAGAAGAAGCAACAGGGAAGCCTAGACTGTGCTGCTTTGGTTCACTGAAAAGACAGAGAAAAGGGGGCCTTAGAGACAGGGACGGGGTTAGGCCGGGATGAGCTGCCACTGCCCCTTGCTCCGCTGGCTGCGAGTCTCATTGGGTCCCTTAGAAGTTGAGGGGAATACATGCCTGTGGGGGAAAGAGGGGGAGAAGGAGAAGGGAATGGCATGGGTATGCTCTTGGAAGAAGAGTGTGCACTATGTCCTTTGTTATGAGTGTATTTATTATCTCTTTCTTGCAGGTAGAAATCTTAGGAATCTTAGAATATTCATCAACTTTCCAGGTGTGCTCTTTCAGGGTCATGGTCTCCACTGATTGGTTGGTGCCAGGGCAGGGGATCATTACTCAATGTAGCTGGTCCTGAGGAAGCCACTGCGTCACGTGTTTGATTTTGGGCCTGGAGCTGAAATACAACTGAAGCCTAGATGTTACTGTTAGGGAGGAAAAGGTCCGGATGTCTAAACTGCCTGACCAGTGATATGAAAGATCAGGGGTCCAAACTGCATGACTGATGATATGATTGCCCTGAGGTGAGGTTCTTGTTTTCCCAGTTTTGCCCCTGGCTAGGCATCCGGGGCTTTCTGCCCTGGAGAGTTTTTGTACCTGGCCCATCGTCCTTGCTCTGGGGGTTCAACTCTGCCCCTTTGCATCCTTCAAAATAGCATTGTACCCCTAGTTGGCCTTCAAGGCTTTTCATTAGGTGACCACAGGGAGGTTTCTCAGCCTCATTTTAATGACCTCAGGTCTCACAGTTAATATGTAGGTATTGCAAAATTCCTCAGAATTGTTACTCTCCATCATATTTCACTGCTCCACGGCTTTGCTTTTGTTTCCACCCTTCTCTGTGTGGGAAGTCCTTCCTACCTCTCTTCCCCTGGCTACTGTTTTTCAGGACAGCTGAGGCCTTTTCTAACCCTCAGCCACCAGGTGCAGCTCCTTTATGCTCTCCTCACATCTCCATCCTTTCACTTTCCTTGTTAACTAGTGATACAATGTGAGGAGTCTTTTATTCCCATTAGACTGTAAGTGCTTTCAGAGCAGAGGTGATCTTTTTTTTTTTTGCCATATGTTGCTGGCAGGTAACTCAGAATTTGGCATAAAACATGTGTTCCATTTGTTTATCTGTGGGCGTGAAATTCGTTCAACCGATCCCCCATGCAGGTGACTGTCTCCCTGAAAGGCACCTTACATAATGTTAACTCATGTTCAAAAGTCAAATAGTTTGTCCCCTTTCCCTGAAGTGCAACATAAACGGGTTTGGCTTAGAAGTGATATGGAAAGTTCAAACATTTAACCTTGACTTTGAGCAGGAGGCAGCATGCTCATTAGTAAAGGTGCCCCTGGGGCTCCCGCTGAATGCCCTTTGCCTTTTGGGAGAGCAGAAGGTGTTGTCCAGCATTTATTCCAATGGAGCCAGAAACCATAGCTTTCCTTTCTCAGCCACAGTTTGAGTCCATTGTGCCTTTTTCAGTGATTGAATTGGAAGGAGGGGCACTTTACAAACAGGAGGAAACATTTTCCCATGTGTCATATAATACGGAGCAGTGAGGCTAGGGTGCGATTTCTGGACCAGGAACTGGTTTACCTGGGTCTGCTTTTCATCTCTGCCCTAAACTAGCCTTCAGTCATTCCCTCTACTTTTCCAAGCCCCCTTTCAGGTGAGAGGAAAGAATGATCGCTAAGGCTGATGAGTGACTTTACGTTCTTTGTTAGATGCCTGTTAATTTTTAAAATGTGTGTTTAATTGAAAGGTCCAGAAAGTCACAATCTGCAGAACTAAATTCTAGTGACTGAGTTCTTTGTTCAATTAAATCTTTATTGTTGAAAAAATTACATGTCCTCCCCCCCTTCTCTCCCCCCGCCCCCCGAATTGACCCTTTCTAGCCCGCCCCCACTTCCCATCCCAGGCCTTCACCACCCTATTGTCCTCATAACCCATGGACAAAAACAGTAGGGTGACTGTGTTTTTATGTTAAAGAGCAACAGGAATTAAGGTCATTGACTTGGACCCTAGGATTTATTAGGTTGCTCAGTGTAGCCTGAGTTTTCTCCAAACAAACAAACAAAAAATTACTATTGGGCTTGTTAGCACCCTGACCGTATTCTACACCTGAGTACTAGAAGTTCACTTTCCCTTTTGCCTCTGGAATAATGAGAGGTTAGCACTGTTGACCAACCTGCTAGAAACTCTATTGAAAAATAGACTCACTTTAAACAATAAAAAAAGACCCTCTTTTTTATGGTTGCAATTTTACTCATTTGCAGATGCATTTGCAGATGTGCTCAAAGATGATTATATTTGTCACCTGCTAAGGGTTCTTAAGAGCGGAAGCCAGCCTTCACTCCCAAGCTTTCTTCCTAAACAATAGTTTGTGATCTTCTTAAAGGCCAGCTGGCTGGCTTTACGTGCATAGTTTCAAATTTTGCCATTCACAAAGAGATCAATTAAATACCTATATCTCTCTTCAAGTCTACAAAAGACTTAATACAACAACAAAATCTTATCTTAAGTTAATAGTCATAAAACCCTACAGATCACGGTGTGTGTGTGTGTGTGTGGGGGGGCTCTTTTTATTTGATATAGGAGGACAAGAAGACAAACTTTCAAGTGGCTCACAGGCATAAATAAATGCTATTAACAATGTGAACCAAGGATTGCAGATGCATTTTCAGGTGTGCTCAAAGACAGTGATCGTATTTGTCACCTGCTACAGGTTATTAAGAGCAGAAACCACCCTTCACCCCTAAGCTTTCTCCTAAACAACAGTTTTTGGTCCCCTTAAAGGCCAGCTGTCTGGCTTTACTTGCTTAGTTTCCAATTTTGTCATTCAGAAAGAGATTGATTATATTTTTATTTCTCTTTTTAAGTCTACAAAAGGCTTAATACAATCACAAAATATCTTAGATTAATACTTATAAAACCCTACAGATCATGGGGCTGGGGAAGCTCTTTTTATTTAATGTATGTAGGGGAAAAAGACAAACTCAATAGTGTTTCACAGGCATAAATAATTACTCTTGACAATGTGAACCAGGGTTGCTTCTATCACCTTTGAAAGGAACCAAGAGGAGGGAATAGCAGAACTGAAGCATGAAAGAAAACTGAAGATCAGATGCAAAGCTGTAATGGGGGTGGAGAGGCCAGAAGTATTGGCTGGGGTGGTTTTGATATTTCTAAGTAATTTTTTTGGTTGAATTATAACAACTTTTTAGAATGTTCAAAGTAGATCTGAATAGACCATGAGATGAGTAAGTTATTTCATGATTATATATTGTGTGTGTGTTTGTGAATGTGTCCTGTATACATTTCTTCTCTCTTCTTTTGTTTTCCCTCCACTGTTGTTGTTGTTTTTTTTTTCCTTAATCTTTACCCAAGGATATTTTTCCCATTGATTTCTAGAGAGAGTGGAAGGGAGGGAGAAGGCGGAGAGAGAGAAAGAGAAACATTGACATGAGAGAGATACATGGATTGGCTACCTGCCCTTCCCCCCAGCCCCAGCTCCCATCAGGTTCCCCCACCCGGGGCCTGGGAACCTGCAACCAAAGCACATGCCCTTGACTGGAATAGAACCGGAGACCCTCTGGTTTGAGGACCCACATTCCAACCACTGAGCAAACTGGCCAGGACTCCCTCCACTCTTTTGACACTAATATCTACCTGTGCAAACTATTTTCTTCTCTTTCTCTCTTCATTTTTTTCCCAGTTACATTCTCTTTTCTCCCTGTTTTTGTCTCATACTTCACCAGCCACAGTATAGAAGT